GAAGAGACGAAACAAGGTGACAAACAGAATAACTGTTGAGAGAATAACATGTGCTCCAACAGAAACAAAACCAAGTGCGATGACAGCCAAAGCGTCTTCTGCTATGTGTGTTAAGCCCGCCATGTGATTCCCAATACGGTCAATATGTCAATATCAGGTATATATATACACAATCGGTAAAATTGGAGAGCAGATGAATATACTGGTATCTAATTTCGTTTGTTCAATACAACTATGTTTGAGCCTTTTTTTGAGTAAAATGCACAACTTTGTTTTAATTGAGAAAAACGCTAAACAATTGATCTGAGCATATTTATTGGTGAAAAAAAGGAATTTGTGAATTTTTGAAAAACTAATTACCCGCGTTTTTTTGTGGTGTGTTGCTTAGTCCTAAATTTTCTATATTGTGTTTTGTAGACTGTTCATTGTCTTTGGTTGTGTTTTCTGTTTTGCCATGGAATTGTCAGTTTGTTTTCGACTTATAAATTAGACTATCCCTTTGGTATCTTTCGCATGTCTTTTGAAACCACCACGTTTATCATATATTCTAGTTTCAGGGACAATATCGAGGCTAATATCGAGACATGAAGTAAATCGTCTATTGTTTGATGTATCTTAAACTCAAGTTCTCTGTGAAATGAGATGTAAACACTTACAAATAAAAAAAATACTTATTAATTGACATAACTATCAGTTTGTGGTGTTGCTTCCTCAGCTTAAGTAAATAATAGTAATTGAGTTGTATATTGACACATGAAACATTTATTTCAGCAATAAAACACAGCAACTGGAAATTAGCGGATTGCATCATCACGGTTTAAATCTATAAAACAGCTTTATCATCTGATTTTGTATAGAAACGTATGGAATCGATTTCTATGGATATAACATTGTTTTACACCAGATACGCCTGTGATCAAAAGTTTGGATGTCCAAAAGTTAATTACAGCAATGAGTATAGAACCTTGGTTAAAGACGGTCAAAATTAAGAAGTTGAGCAATGACTATAAAGCAGAAGAACTCGGTTTTTTTTTCTAATCGTAGGCATTATGATAATTAAAATAACTGGTAAAACATCAACGTATATCACGGAGACATTGATTTGGTTTTGTTTAAACGCTTATATAATCACCTTAATAAAATTTCGTCCCAAAAACTTATTGAAGTTACTTCAAATTAATCTGTTTAATTACAATTGAAGACGTGTTTCGTTGAACAAGAATTAATCCGAAACAACCTTAAAAAATGAAACCAGTTTTTAAGTTTGCACTCCTTTAATTATAAACATAAAATCACATTATTTTGGACTCAATTATTATCAACGGTATCTTTTTATAATTAAGGTGCCAGTGTGTAAGCCGGGTGCACATTCGTATTATTAGCAAAGTAAACATAACAATAATTTCAGAATCAATATAAGGTCAGTTTGAGGTTGATGTCGGGAAGATTATCAACTGAAGTAACAACTTTTGTTATAAGTATTCATAAAATTAAATCTTGAGACAAAACAATAAAAATGTTCAATATTTAACATGAGCAAGAGTCATGCCGAATGATTTTCTTTCAACTGCATGTGTAAAGACCTACGTCGAATACAATTACATAACATATTTTCATGCTTATGACATGAATTCTGTCGTGAATAAGGCTAATAAGACACGAACAAGTGTGAAAATTAAACAGGTGTCCGAGACAAACGTATGCAAACAATTTGCATATACGCGACGCGATTTCTTAAAAATAAAATTGTAGGCTACCGTGGACTCTTAGTTAAAAAAAACTGCTTTAACACTTTTAACTAGCATCAGCACGTAAAGGGCTTTATAGTAAAACCAGTCTACTATATGCACAGTGTTTTGTCTTGTACTGTGTGGATGCCATGAATAAAGGCAACAGTAGTATACCGCTGTTCGAAATTCATAAATCGATTGAGAAAAAAACAAATCCGGGTTACAAACTAAAACTGAGGGAAACACATCAAATATAAGAGGAGAACTACGACACAACAGAAACACAACATTAAAATGTAAAAATGAAACATTCTGCCGTGCTTAACACGTATATTATTATGTTTTATAGTTTAAGATAGCATATTCCTGATATAACAGTAATTAATTTTGTGTGTGTTTCATTTAAGTACCAGATTCTGATATTGTAATTTCTTCTGTTTCGTGTGTTATAATTGTGTTGCAATGTTTGTTTTAATAGTCAGAGTTGACGTCAATGTATGACAATACTATATTGTGTTGGAAGATATCATTTACATTTGTTAATATTATCATGCAGCTTTGTTCTGCATACTTGAAGTAGGATCGACATCCAGCACAAACCTTAACTGAACTAGTGCACGAGGACGTCTTGAACTTGTACTTTAGTGTGGTACTTAATTCAATTTAAAGGCTTCACTATGATTATGACTTTTAAATTGTTTTCTGGAACAATATAAAATGTACATGATGACGACAACAGCCTTATTCGTAATGGTCATTTGTATAAAAATATGTCTTCTTTCAATTGTACATTTTGTAGGATTCGGTTACATTGAAATTTAGGAAGTATCTGTTAGAAACTGTCGTATAAGCTAAATGTATATGTAATTTAAAGGGCTAACAGTATTGAGCAAATGGGTGAATATTGCACACAGTACATAACAAAGAAAAAGTACATTAAAACCTTACATATAAGTCACTTGGAGCCATTTATATATTTCAAAGTATTAAACACATCTTTTAAATTTTGTTCAAATCGACAATCGAAGTATTATCTGTTTTAATAAGAAATCCCCTGTATAAAAAAGGAAATGCCCAATCACAGAACATATTGCAAACTAAATACGTTTACTAAAAATAAAACTCCTTTTACACCTGTGCAAATTAATTCATCAGTTCAACTTCAAACAAATGTGTTTGCTTAATACACGAAGAATGAGTCCTATTTTGATGCCCAGTTTCGGTGATTAACAACAACAGTTGTGCTATTATTCTGTTAATCGTGTTGCTTGTATGGGATTCATAATTGATTGGTTTTTTTAAAAAAATGAACATTTCGACATCAGTCTTATCGATTCACGAACAATTGTTGAAACACATATATTTCTAACCTTAGTTTTATAATTTAACTACAACAACAACGACAAACATAGAGTTAACAACCAAAATTAAGTCCTCGTCTTATACGAGAAAATGATTTAGTCTCAATATTTAATCAATATTATTACATAGTGAACATCTCATGTATAAACAAACTTCCCTAGTATTTCAATACAAGGAAAACTGAACATGAAAACCCAAAGTAGCGTGAAATATTGTTGACTCTTAGTTATACTCTTTGTCAATTAAATATAATTGTTTCGATTTAAGATATATTGTCTTTTAAACCTGCTATTGTGGAAGAGCCATTAATAGCTGGTAGTATGACGTTAAGAAACATATGGATTAATGCATATTTCCTGTTTTTCTCATCGTATAACACACCTGGGGTGTAAAGATTGATCAAATGATAGACCAATCGTAGGGAAGTTTTTCTTTAGGAAATCCCGACACTTTTATGTGTGTTATACGACAAGAAAAAAGCTTTTAAATATTCATTATCTGACTTATATACCGTCCACAAACATTATTTTTCATCAAATAGTTGCAGAAATTTGTATCCCATTTTACCGATCACATTAATGTTAGATATTCTTGTTTCATGGGTTTAAGTATAACCACGCGCAATGGCTCATTTGTAATGTGAATTAAAACTCATTCATTATTATAGATATAAACGTTAGAAATTACTATGTAGTTACAAAACACATGTTTCTGTAACTGTCTGAATCAAGTAACAAATTAAATATATCGGTGTATGACAAAAACATTTACAAGTCACTTGGTAAGTCATTTACTTTCTTAGCTTAAACAAAGGAGGGTATTTGTTTTAATCTTGTTTTAGACATTTTTAACAGGGAAAAGCAGATAATGTTTTCAACAGGTAAAAACTAAGTATTTGGCACATTTCTTTTCCCTTATTTGTCTGGAAATGCATTTTTTTCTTCAAAACTGAGAATAAGGATACTATATTAAAACACCCCACTTTTTTTGGATAACATGGCTGTTTTCGAACAAGAGGGACAAGAGGAATATTTGTCAATTTGATAGTGCCAATGACACATAAACATAAAAAAGGAGAGCAGGAAGAGGGCCCAGCATCGTAATTTACATGGTAACACGAAAAACGTGCACATATAATTAATACGATATCTATTACAGTGTGAAGCAACACAATTGATAACATTTATTATTTTACAATCCTACACGCGAATGTGATTAAATTTGGTTTGTTTAAAACGTTATATGAAATGTTTTCCATTATTAAATGTATCTCCCTATATTGTAGCGATATGTTTAAATTAGTTTCAAAACTAGCATTATTTGCTCCGAAAGTTAAACTGTGCGGTAACGCATTTTCTGATATTTCAGTCAAATAAACGGAGGAAATGATTGTTTCTGTCTTTTACGTTAAATATAAAAATAAGGAGTTGTGGTACAATTGCAAATGAAACAAATATCCATCAGAGTTCAAATGACATCGATGTAAGTAATAAAGGCAACAGTACGGCCTTCAACAGTGAGAAAAACACACACCGTATAGTTGACTATAAAAGGCCCTACATAAAAAATATGAAAAATCAATTGAAAAAACTAACGCCTAATCTATAATAAAACAATCTCGAAATGATGACGTCTTTTGTAGACGAAACGCGCGTCTGGTGTAAGTACAAAATTTAATCCTGGTATCTATGATGAGTTTATTTTCGACCTCTTTCAATGCATTTCCCTCATAATAACTTGTCATAAGTAGTATTTTACAAGTAGATGTATCAAAATTGTCAGTATTCAATTTTATATATGTTTTCTGTATTGGTGAATAATCGACAAAAGGATAAAAAAAAATACGTGTAGTATCAAATGAATGCACATATTCCTATCTTTTATCTATAACATACGTATTGACAAACAATGGAGTTCTCTGAATCGCATCGAAGTTGTCATCCGATATTTCGGAAATTGTCGTTAGGGAAATAATTATGTGTACCTGCTGTGAACGCATTAGTAATAAACTATTTACTTCTTTGCCGTGAAACTTGGTAAGTTGTTAATACTAATAGCTGTCGTATTCTACTTTGTTTAACTTAATTGTGTTCATTATACACAATACAAACTAAATCTAAAAGTAAATTTGTAATAGATGTTACAATGTAACATTGCTAGTCCCTAGTCTTTTTTTGTTGCATGATTAATATTTAATAGTATAACTCATATTCAAATAGTATGTTACTATATTTAAATAAATAAGGCTACTATATATATTATATTATTAAAAAAATGTTTTCGCTTGATCATGATCATGTTGATGTAGACTTTGAGGCTTTTTTTACAACCTTAACACCTCATTGTAATCGTGATCTTCATATCATTTATTTATTCATGTATGTATACAGTGTACGATAACATTAAAATACGGACAGAAAAGTTTCCATGTCAGTCAATGAATTTAAACCTTTTCATACGACAAAGGATGTAGAATATCAAACATATTTTATACAAAAGAACCCCATGAAAGAAATGAGGTCAATCTTTGATCTGAGTGTACCTTGACACGGAAAAATATAGTTTACAACACAAGTTGTATTGATGTTAAATATTCACACATGTTTACTATTATACAATTTAAGTATAATCACAAACCATAGTATTTGCGGATGTTATTTTTGCAATTAAATATTCTAAGCTAGAATGATCTGACCGTTACACTGTCACAATTAGCAGTTGTATCTTAGATAATATGGTCCGAGTACACAGTTATTTCGTAGTGCATTTCTTTTAGAGAATAAATGAAAATAAAAAAAATCCCACCTGCGCTTTCTCAATAATATTTTTACAGTGTGTTGTACTACTTTTGGGACAAATTATATCAAAATTATAGAAAACTTCATCGGCTCTAACTCAAAATATGGACAATTCTATGTTAAGTGGGTCTTGAAATCTTTTGACAGCTTCCGAAGTGCTAATTTTTAACCTTTTTCAGCTGGACCAAATCACTACTTTACTTTACAATTCATGACCCAAATTTTTTTACAGTGTAATTTCATCCCCCTACTTGCTATTTGAGGCATAAAACATGAAGGAATAAATTTGGAAGGGGTACTAAAAAAATTGGCAAGCAACACACTGTCCACACTAGGGACTTTATTCGTGGACAACGAAAATCAAAGGACGATAACTGTGTACTCGGACCTAATAGGATAGAAAAATTTGACCAATCTTAATAAAACTTGGTATGACTAAAGGTTAATAAATTATGAGACTGCTGACAAAGTTTAATGGCAATAGGATATATATTATAGACAATATGATAAATTCTATATTCAACTTCGCGTGTTAAATTTTGACGTTTAAATTGAAAAATTTCAACTATCAACATTTGGGGCTTTAAAAATTAAAATATTGCAAAAAAATACATTTTAAAGGCCTTAATATATGACATATTATGTATTCAAAGCAATAGAATACTCATTTGATTTATCAGACTTATCACAATTATTTAAAAGTCAAATTTATATGAGCCTGTGCCAAAAAATGGAGGTTTTCCAATGGAGGGGGGCCTTACATGAAGATGTATTATTTTCCAGCAATTTTAAATTTGTGGAGTTTTTTGGTTATAAATAATCCTTACATATGTATTAAATGTACTTTAAATGGAAAGAAAAATTACAAATAGCATACCATATTAGTATAAAAGGGTCTTAAACCAAGTAAGACTGAAAATAATTTAGGGTCAATTTAGGCCGTAGCACATATTTACATTTAACAATGCATACTGAAGCTATAGGAAATAAAAATTTGTGTCTTTTTTATAATTTCTATACTCAGGTTACATGATACAATAAATCTGAGCATAAAAGGACTCTTGCATTCAACTTTTTTTGCAGACAGTATGGTCTGATACAAAGATTTTTCACTTTTTAGTGAAAAACTTGCATGCAATTTTAGCCTCAGCAGGCTTATATTTGAACCACTTGCTATTTAACATAAGAAAAGAAAGATACTATGTGAAATGAAACAGGTACAAAAGACATTGTGAAGTGCTTTTAATACAAATTTAGTGAAATCTTTATTATTGACTTCAACTTTTATGTACCTAGGTCCTCACATTTAACTTGATCCAAACAGGTCGTTACTCGAGGGTCATTTATACAACACATTTTGCACATATTGTCTGAAATAATCTTATTTTCTGTAGATTCAGAGTTCACAAATGAGTAATACAACTGGGTTAAAGCATAGAAACACAAATATTGACACAGGAAAACCTGTCACATAGAAAGTCAGAATGCCACTTATGCATCAAAATTGAAAAAGCTTTGAAATGCTTATTTTGACCATATAATGCCAAAATGGGTAATTTTTGCAGAATATCTATCAAATAAAAGTTTAAATCCTTTAGTTTCATGCTATCTGACAAATTGACACCATTAAATCGTTCAGGGAAGTTGCCAAAGCACAGATTTTATATTTACTGATTTCGCCTCTTAGGTCCGAGTACACAGTTATTTCGTAGTGCATTTCTTTTAGACAATAAATGAAAATAAAAAAAATCCCACCTGCGCTTTCTCAATAATATTTTTACAGTGTGTTGTACTACTTTTGGGACAAATTATATCAAAATTATAGAAAACTTCATCGGCTCTAACTCAAAATATGGACAATTCTATGTTAAGGGGTTCTTGAAATCTTTTGAAAGCTTCCGAAGTGCTAATTTTTAACCTTTTTCAGCTGGACCAAATCACTACTTTACCTTACAATTCATGACCCAAATTTGTTTACAGTGTAATTTCATCCCCCTACTTGCTATTTGAGGCATAAAACATGAAGGAATACATTTGGAAGGGGTAATAAAATAATTGGCAAGCAACACACTGTCCACACTAGGGACTTTATTCGTGGACAACGAAAATCAAAGGACGATAACTGTGTACTCGGACCATATATTTGTCTGTTATTTTCAAGAGCATTAATTTCTTAAACTTAGAAACAAAAAACATCTCATGAAAGATATTAGGCTTATATTTTGTACACCTGACGCACGTTTTTTTTTTTCTACAAAACATCCAACAGTGATGCTTGAATCAAAAAACGTTAAAAGGTCAAAGTCAAGAACAATGTTAGAGAGCATTAACGACCAAAACTTCCAAAAATGTTGGCAAATATAGGTAAGGTAAACTTTTCCTAGGTTAAACAATCCTTAGTATCTTGATTCATTTAAAGTATTGTTAACAGCTAATTTATAAATATCACCGTGGCAATGATATTGCATGTCAACAAAGAATTGGTGTCACAGAATAATTAATTTAAACGACATAGAAAATAAAAGACTTTAAAACGTCGAGTATAGCCATGTACGTTAATGAATGTCAAAACCGTTAACAAATGTTCATTTTATGTTTCAGAAGTATTTAATCCCTTAAACATGTATAAGATGATCACCTTTTGCTAGGAAGCCTAATTTGTGTCTATGTTCTGTATATAACATCAACATGAAATCCCATGTTTTGGTCTTGTCTGCATTGGTTATATTTGTTTGCTTAATTAGTCAAGGTAAGGAATTCCTCTTATTTCGAACATATTTTTTAATATTACTAAATGTGTTTTCATGAAACAAGATGTACAAACAAATTGACAAACACAACCACAGAGAGAGAAATGACGAAAAAATACTCGATTACAAAATGCCAAACAACAGAGAAAACAATTTTTCGATTAATTAAAAAAGACATAACGAAATAAAATAAAATGGTGGCAATAAACATCGATTACTGGATAACGTACAGAGTCTATTACAGTATTTTCATCTTAATAACTCAAAAATCCTTTTTCAATTGAAACAACCAACAGCAGTAGTTTAAAATTTGGTAGCCAAATCAAACGGAGCATGAAGAGCACAGGAGATATACCGCCAAAATTCTTAAAGGATAGTTATAAGGAATAGAAGATGCCGTAGAGTACATTACAAATAAACAGCTAAAAGATAAACCATCAGAGAATCACAGGACACAATCATGTAGTATAACACATTCACCCACATACGGTGCTTTCATCATAACAGGCGATACGCTTTACTATTTCAAGGGAAACTATCGTAAAATGACTATTCAAATAGTTTTACGTATTAACTTTCAATACGTTATTATTTTTCAAAACAAACAGTTCACAAAGCCAGAAATCAGCGGTTTCTCTATATTTATATTTATAAGTAATGACAGAGGGAATAATAACGTTATGCATGTGTTAGATGCAATCAAAACGTTACGTAGTATGCTGTTATGTATATATGTATAACTGATAAAAAAAGAGAAAAGATATAACTGATATGTTTTCTTATTTTAAATTCCAGGTCTTCAAAACAAGCTTATCTATTCGACTGAAAATGCAATTAAAGAAATCAACCTGCGCTCCGGGAACGTATCAGTTCTCTTGTCAAATTTAATGAGTAACATTTATTCTTTGGATTGTGATTATAAAACTGGGTATATCTATTTTCCGAGACATAATTTAAACGTCATATCGAGGTAAGTACTAGGAGTATTTTGTAGGTATATACTAAATGTTATATATTTTTAAATTGTACAAGTTTGCTTTATTCTTTACTTTTAATTCTAGCTTGAGGAATTTTGTACTTAACTTTGTTATCATAAAAACATACTTATTATACAATGTTATACTTCCAGATAGTTGCTACCTGTTAAATGCATATGAAATACTGCATACAATTTGAACATATTTTTAAACAAATCTTGGCAGGAAAAATCCCGTGTGCAAGAAAATTGTTATAAAGTTCACAACTGACCCCCTCGTAGCAAACCATATAACTTATAGTAGAGGCGATCTGCTGAAATAGGACATAAAACGTTCTCAAATTTCAAAAACATCGATACAAATTAGTATAAACATATTCTTGTTGGTAAAATTAAATTTGGTAAGATACCAGTGAAATATACGGTCATATTATTTAACGTATTTAACTATATGAGATCCATATCATATTAGGTTTGTATACTGCTTCAGAAAAATGAATCTAAATGCTGAACGTTTTTTCTCTAAATAATGTTTAATTTGACTTTTCTTTCTATTCATAGAATTTTTTTCAATAGTAATCTAGATAGACCTACTAAATGTGTCAGATTATTTTTTTAGAGGAAAATTATAGAAAATAGGATCTATAGGCAGGGAGATCGAGTTTGTTTATTTAATCACGTTTAATTTTGTCATTTTTATGGACTTCACCTTTTGAATTTACCTTAGAGTTCGGTATTTTTGTAATACTTCTTTTATTTATATTCATAGTGTCAGGGCCAGGTGTACCAAAATCGGAGTTCATATAACTTGGCTTTTTTGTGATCATTTAGTCTAAGTAATAACTACAAATTCAAGCTTTAGATCTAGTATTTCTTACATTTTCCAATACTTCGTAGAATGTTAAATTATTAAAATTACTCACAGATTTCGTTATCCAGCTGATGAACCTTACATAGTAGAAAATGTGATAACTGCAGCGGAACCAATAGCACTAGTGATTGATCCATTAGACGAAAATGTATATTGGACAGAATTATACACAGGAAAGATTTATAGATGTGATTTAAATGGCCTAAATAAAACCTTTATACTTCAAGATGACAAACTATATGCTATAACACTAGACTATCGGAACAGGTTTGTATCTATGTATTTTTGTAAGGGCTTACTATGAGAAGAAAAAAAAAAAAAAAAACACTGAAGATACCGTTTATAAAATACCGAAACGTGTTTGTATAAAACTAGACGCCAAACATGTCAAAGGAATCAGAATTGTTAAATATAAATTATGAAATGCAAAATCAAACAATTTTGCTCAAGACAATAAAAAGGGTCCTCTTTAAACACGAAAGAAAATATAATGCGGTCCATTCACACATATGCACAAATGTACGCACGTGATATGCATATTTTATATTAAAAAGATACGGCTATAAATGCAACTTTCTTTTCATGGCGAGATGTCTACGATAGGCCGACCGCCTCTTCCGATAATTTTTACAGTTACTCGTTGCAGAAAATGTCCGAATCTTTAACTAAATATTGTAATTCGATTAATGATAAGAGTGAAATTCATAATAACACCAGCATCAAGTACTTGCTTGTATGATAATAATGTTGTTAACTCATCAAAATTGAATGTAACCGTAACAGCCGGGAACGAATAGCGTATTACACACACAATGCCCTCAAAATGTTTCTTAACTTATATTCCAAATATCATGAAGGTTTTTTTTTTATCTCGACTGTTATTCGTTATTGGTATTTGTCATTCCATTTTGTTGTAGGTTGTATAATATCATTGACCCTGATCATGCTGATATCTTCTCAGAAATATATTTAAAAATGCATTCCTGTTCATTTTTGCTTCTTTTTTACTGAAAGACATTTAACAAATCAGCAACTGTTAGAGGTTCCTTGTAAAAGTTTAGGCATTTCCCTTTTTTGCATCAAACCCAACTAATATAACCTTCTTTACTTTGTTAAATTAATGTATATTAATACAATAAGAAAGCAAAAAAAAAAAAAAAAAAGGAAAGAAAACAAAACATTCCAGAGAATATAAAACAACATCATGACAAACAATGATTTCAGCTTCTGATTATTCAACAAACACTGTTCACAAAAACCCGGATAAAAGTCAAACATGTATAAAATAAGGATATATTGTAAAACTATGATAACTGTCAATGAGACAACTTTGAACCAAATGACATGGATGTAAGCAACTATAGATCCCCGTACGGCCTTCATTAATGCGTAAAACTCATACTGTAAATAAAATGTAAAACAAAACAAAAAACAAACAAAAAAGCAACCAGCGACAACCACTGAATTACAGGCTCTTGATTTGGGAGACAATCACATAGTTAACTACATTTCAAATTAAATACCAAACTACATTGTATTGAATGCAATTTTGTTTATTATGCGTGTTAAATGACTTTTTCCTTCATTTCGTACTACACATGACAATAGCAACGCCTACCAAGACCTTAAATAATGAATGCATGAAACAGAATTAAAACAAACTAAATATTAAAGAAATTTCTTGGTATTCCTAAACGGAAGATTGTATACACACAGAAGAAGAAGTATACATAACAACAAAATTATTTTCATTTACCTGTGTATAAAATGACGCAGGTTTCTTCAAAAGTGATGATTTTCTATAAATTGTTTGAAATTTCACAGTGATAACATACTCTAACTTTGTTTAAACCTGTTTATTTACTTTTGACTTTAATTATTTATCCCTTGTAATTTTTTATTAACTGTGTATTTGCATTCAGGTGTCACAGGTCAAATTTATTCGTTCATTGTGTGTTAATTTACGTTTTTTGATTGAGTTAAGCCTTCCAATTGATATTTTATAGTGTGTTTTTCTATGTTGTGATGTTATACTATTGTTTCAGAAAAGGGAGAAGGTTTGGTACCATTAAAACATTTAATCCCGCTGCAAATGTTTGCACCTGTCTTAAGTCAGGAATCTGATTACAGTAGTTGTCGTCTGTTTATGTAGTTCATACATGTTTCTCGTTTCTCGTTTTTATATAGATTAGAACGTTGGTTTTTCTGTTTGAATTGTTTTACACTAGTAATTTTTTGGGGCCCTTTATAGCTTGCTGTTCGGTGTGAGCCAATGCTCCGTGTTGAAGGCCGTACCTTGACCTATAATGGTTTACTTTTATAAATTGTAACTTGGATGGAGAGTTGTCTCATTGGCACTCATACCACATCTTCCTATATCTATATAAAGTAAATTTTACTGTCATTCCTACGCTAAAGTTTTATTTAGAGAGATATGGAAGTGATCAACACTGACCAATCACATACATGTCCATTGTGAGAGACCTTTCTTGATGGTTTTATTTTACTTAGCTCACTTAAATCACTAATATTGAAACAAAATATATCGATTTAGATGATTGTATTCAGATAAATATCTAGGGATTTATAGGGGCTTTTTGGCCAAAGTGACTTTACAAGTATTTTTCTATTCGTCTAATACCAATTTAAACAATGTTTTATTGAGAAACATAAATTTCTGGATGATAACAATTTCTGACCCCTAAACTCAATGTTGAATTTTAGCCTTAAACGAACAATTGACGGGATAAAATTCCTAAGATGATATATTTCCAAGACACTATAACTCATTCTGAGCCTTTCTTTTTTTATTCGAACTGCAGATGGTTGTATTACAGTACCTTTGGAACGACAAGAAAAATTAGGCGAGCAAGGTTAAATGGTACCGAAATACGGACAGTTATAGACTCAGTAGAAGTAACTGGTTTGGGTATAAGTATGCTATCTTTATGATTGTAAAATGAACATGATATGGAATATGAAGGGCAATAAATATAATATCAGTAATGACTAAACAATGTTGATGCAATTGATTGAAAAATACACGAAGTAAGGGAGCAGATGAAATTTTCTTTACTATCAATGTTTGTGATTTCTTGGAATACTTATAATTGTACTTTAATATTTTTAAGTCTTTTAAACTTAAATTGTGTAAGAAGTTTTAATTTTTTGATATTCAACAAAGCATTCATATATTATGTTCAAATCAAAGAATCAAATGTGTTGCACAACTCATTTAATGTATTATTCTACGTGGAAAAGTTCTAGCGTAATTCAATGTCGTTTTGAAGAGAGTGTTCTTGTTGGTATGTCGTTCTTTCTTTGATATTTCCCCTTTCCTTTAATTAGAGTATAGTATTATCTATAGTTATAGAAATGTTTGTATACACGTTTACATACAAATAAGTATCAGACCCAAAGACAGGTATGTGATTTTTACAGATGTGAAAACAATTTCTGATAGGTAATTTAGCATCAAAGTTTTGTGGTGAATGCATCTAAAGTGCATAAATCATTTAAATCATAAATATGACAGTTGTTATCTATTCGTTTGATGTGTTTGGTTTTTTTTTATTTTGCCATTTGATTGGGGACTTTTCTTTTTGAATTTTCCTCGGAGTTCAGTAATTTTGTGATTTTATTTTTTTCTATATTAGATACCAATGGATGGCGACTTTACTGGATGGTACATAACATAGGTGAACTGAGATCCTCAACTCTGAATGGAACAAATATCATTAAAGTTTTCAATACGAAAAACTCAACAAGCATAGGTATCTATGTACATGATAGCAATATCTACTGTACAAATGGCCTCCAACTACTTAAGGTCACAACATTGCCAGCAAAAACGGCGTATGTTTTACACACAGATACAGCAACAACTCATGGTGTCCTTTTGTATGATGGTGGGTATATATTTAAATATTATGAAGGAAACATTGATATTACCTAACATATCTCCTCGTTTTGTTTTATAATTGTTTTTGAAAGAGAGGCGACACATATCAAAGGGCCATTCAATCTCAAGACGAAAATAAACTGAAAACGCCATGGCAAAAAAGAAAGAAAAAACAACAGAAATGGACCAAAAGACAAACAGCAGTATACAAAATACATCATAGTAAAAACTAACGACTGAGCAACACGAACCCCACCAAAAATCGGGAGTGATCTCAGGTGCTCCGAACGGGTAAGAAGATCCTTCTCCAAATCTAAGAAAAGATCTGGTGATAAGTCTAATTTGGTAGGCACATTCGAGGAAACGGGTACGGGATTGTGGTGACAATGATAGGAACAATTAGGACATATGTTAATGATTAAATATCCATAAAAACTGTTAAAATATTTAGATAAATTGGATTTTAAACTTAATTAGAATAGATTATCAAATGCACGACGCGATACAAGCTGGTAAAACGAATGATGACATTTTTTTTAAATTCTGTATTTGTTCTTCAATTTCATTATTATGTGTTACAGATGAACAAACACTAGAAATGGTGTTGTTGTTGATTTGCATTAATATGACATTGCGAAGATATTACGATTGTTATATTGAATTGTTAAACAAATGTTTGTCTGAATTGTGTGCAATAGTTGGGTGCTGCTTGCGTTTTTATGTATGTTCTAATTGATATATTAAGTTATTTTGCTTTTTTTTCTGTTTACTTACATGATTTAACAAAGAGAAACGTATTGGTAAACCGCAAAATGTATCAAGTACGTTGAATGCTATAGTTCATTACCATGAAAAAGATGAACAGTAGTTTATTGATGTAAACAATCTTTGTATATACAAACCAATAAAACATGAAGAAACCATATGAACTTTAAAAGAGGGGCGAAAGATGTTAAATGTAATAGGACCGGGTGCACCAAGAAAGAAATTGTTTCCAATGTATGTAATAGTAGATCAGCAATGGTAATTTGATCAAAAATGTCACAAAAGGGGAATTACTACGCAATCATATAAAGTACAGCTCACTTGACTCTAACCACGTACGACCTCGAAAAATTACATCGTGAGGTATCGCAATAGCTACAATTAACTTGCCTTTACAAACCTATTGATATACAAAAAGAAAGCGCTCAAGTTCTCTGTATTCTCTTAAACGAGGATCAGTAACTTAAGTTCCGCTGTCTAAAATTACTCTACAGAAACGTGCTTGCACATACAAATCGGTATCATTATTAGTTTTATATTTAACGAGATGTTACTACATATAATTGTAAGCTTTACTAACCTTTTTAATTGTCTGCTCTAGCATTATTAATAGAACGATAATCCATAATTTTCCTGTTATTTGTATTCTGGTTCACTTAATCATAAAAGCAGTTCTATAATCTAACGAACTTTAGAGAAAGGAAAAGAACTATTTTATATTGTCATGTTACATGCATCTTTCTATCAATGTTTTAGTTAATCTAAGTAAAATTGTTTCAAACTTGAAAACGCATTGTTATTTTTTTTTTTTTTTTGCTTTGAAAAAATGTTCAATTGCATATTAGATATGTTTGAAAACCTTTAGCTATCTTGGACTTCACGGGCATCCAAATGTGAGTAATTATCTTTTAAGTATTCATTTATTAAAAACACTTCAAAATCAGCACATTTTAAATATGTTCTCGAAATTCAATGATTTGTGCTTTTTCCGACCTAAAAGCTTGTGGAAACCCTTGGCCGCAACCTAGGATCCAAAATGTTTTGTAAACAAGAATTGCCAATGATGATATTGAATCCCTAGACAGAAAAACCTTCTAGATACTGGGTGGCGGCCAAAGTAAATTATGGTAAAAACTGTCAAGAATTATTGAAAATTTTACCTCAAATGACGTTACAACTCAAATAAGAGCCAATACTTTGTCATTTTTAATATGATGTGCCAAAATTAAGTTGTGTTGTATTAATTGTAATATCATAACTATTTCTATGAAAAAATTGTAGTATTATGGCCTGATTAAAAAATACATCCAAATCTGACGGCCAATTTTAACCGTTCGTGAACGGAAACTTTACAAAGGTTTGTTTTAATTCATACGTTGATGATAACTTCAAGAATTAATAATCCACTACAAACCGTATCGACCAAGTGCTGAACTAAAACGAAAACAACACTGTAACACGTCTAAGCGCTTTCATGGGTTAACCTTCATCGGGATCGCTTAATGGTGAAGATTCGAGATATTTAAGTTATAATATTTGTTATCTGGAAATTGAACAATTAAGGGGACAGTGGATTATATAAAGGTTTTTGATCGATAGAGTAAATGTGTATGTTCATACTAAAACTATTTGTATATTCAAAATAGTAATTAACTATCTTTTAACAATTCTATTAATTATGACCACGTATGTTTCAGATTGGGATTACCACGAACATACCTGACTTACATTCCCAGTTGTTAAAGTAATGATAAATCAAGCTTTTTATTATAATACATTGTAAGTATTTTAAAAAGAGATATTGCTCAGATTTTTTATAACTTAAAGTCTCAGGAATAATACAAAAAAAAAAAACAGCGGATTATCTATATCTGTTTTAAAACTTTCTCGTAGTTGATGACAATTATATTAAATATGTAAATAGTGGTGTTCACGAAAAACGTGTTCGCTTCGTTCTCGAATACGTTTTTCCTTCTGGAATTAAAAGTCAATAAAGTGGAACTTTAAACATAAAGGAAACATGATTTTGGTTTTGCTTTTTAAAATTAATTTTGCATTCGTGCCTCACTAAACTGTGCTAATTTTACGGATACGAATATCCGATTACAGTATAAAAAAAAGATAGTAAGGCTGACAGTAGAATTGTTATTTGTTTAAAAGTAGTAATAACAGTGATAATATAAAGATAAGACGTTCTGTTTCTTATACTAAGATGTAGAGTTTATATTATCATGATTATTGTGGTGGTGCAATATTCAACATTATACTTGATCTCATCTAAATGTTGCCACCAATAAAACTATACACTAATTAAGTATTTTCGTTGCAATGTTGAACATAAAGAGTTTTATATTTGTATCTTAATGCCAATGATAGATATAACACGTTAGGTATTTTGAAACAAATACAGGAATGTGAATCTTAAAAACATTATGAAATAAGTTCAAACTTTTAAAATGAAGGCAACGGTAGTTTATCAATGTTCAAATCTCGTTGATTCATCAGGAAGAAACATATCTCGTCAATCGATGAAAACAAAACTAGACTTGTTACTCGAATAGGAAGAGATAAATGTCAAAATTGATAGGGGATAGGGAAAATACAATTCTAAAAATTTAAAGAAGAGAAAAATCCCGTTAATCGATCCGGAAGATACACAACTCGTAATCGATTATGAAGAGAAATCTTGTTAATCGTTTAAGAGAAAACACGTCATTCTTGTAAATCTTTTTTTTTTTTCATTTTAAAGATACACGTCTTGCAAATTGGTTTAAATATACAAATCTCGTAAATCTAATAAGAAGTAAAATAACAAAAATACCGAACTCCGAGGAAAGTTCAAAACGGAAAGTCCCTAATCAAATGGCAAAATCAAAAGCTGAAACACTTCAAACGAATTGATAACAACTGTCATATTCCTGACTTAGTACAGGCATTTTCTTACAGAAGGAAGAAACGTCAAAAATAGACTAGAAATAGAAATATCTTGTTTATGAATTAGAAAGAAACAAATTTTGTCGATCGATTAGAAAAAGAGACACATCTAGTAAATCGATAAGAAAAAGAAAACTCCCGTTAATTAATCAAAAAGAGCCAAATCTTTCAAATCGGTTAGGAAGGAACAAATCTCGTTAATGTATCAGGAAGAGACAAATCTCGTAAATTGATTGGAACAAAACGTTTCTCGTTCATTGATTTGAACGAGACGAATCAATGTAACAAACACAAACTGAGGGAATCTAAAGAACTCCAAAAAAGCGATTCCTTATGCTTCAACGGATAGAACAAGATTTTTTTTATAACAAAACATAATACTTTTAACAAATTTGAGAATATTCCTATTATAACATTGATAATTTGCATTTGATGTCACACCGTTTGCCTGTCAAACCGATCATATTAAAATCGACATTGTCCTCATATAAGGACCCCTTTTTTTCCTTTTCACTGGCGCATTCATATATATTGTGTGCGTGTTTTGATACATGTGTTGTCTATTTGTTCCCGTTGAACAAGACATCTATATTATAGAATTATACATTTCCACATCAGTTTATTTAATTTATATATTGCATGTGTTGTATGCGACTATTTTTCGTCTATCCAGAGATTCAAATGAATATTAGTTTCTATCTCTCGAAATGATTAATAGCAATGATAAATCTATCTATAATTTTAATCAATCATATGGAAGTAATCCTTAGAAACTTAAACTTATTTTTTGTTTGTTTTACAGAAATGACTGAGTTGCAATCACCAACACAGACATATGGGATGAAATATGCATGCAGTTACCAACGCTGCATTTTTGACAGAGACAAAATATTGAACATTCGGTGCACATTCTTAACATTGCTCAAAACGATAATTGTGACCATTATCATTCTTGTGATATTAATAGCACTTAGATACAATAAACAATCATTGTTTAGTAATATAATGGATCTGTTCAGTGACATACTGGTAACTTTGATGAAAAGAAACTGAACAATAACAATATTTTTCTGCCAGAAGATGTATACATACATATGTATATTTTAATCTTTATGATAGACAATAAACAAAAAGGAATGTTTATCATATATGAAGTCTAGCAATTACACTTTTGATCGACAACGACATGGCAGAAACTAGAGGCATATGTATATGATGCAATGGGTTCTTTACTTTTTTAATAAATCAGAACAATAAATAAGACTTAATGATAATGTTAAAAAAAAAATTCATCAGTCTTTGCTTAACATTGTAAATATTAGTAAGTAATTGTGACTTATACAACTGCTTGAAATTGGTTTTACTGTTTGTAAGTCATGTTTCTGATATATTAAAAAAGATTCTTTTTTTAATTTTATTATGATTATAGTCAGAAGCGTCTTTTTAGTTCAGCTCTGTTATTACATTTTTTTTTCAGGTCATACTTATATTTTGTGATATTATAAAATATATTATGGAATGATTTATAATGTAAATTCAGAAATTATTCCTTGCATTTATTATATTGCGATTTTTGAAGAATGGACAAAAATTCGAGATTAATCATGTTAATTATTGCTATTTCATGAACATATATATACCAATATCTTTATCAGATATTCGAATACGAGTTCTTATTATCATTCAGTCTCATTTTGGTAATTTACAATAGGCTTAATTAATGTAAATTCAGACTTGGTGATTATCGACTAGTTTTCATCATGAACCAATATAACATCAATAATCATAGGTTCTCGTTTATCATTACTAAAATTATATTGGAAATGTACATTTCAGGGAAGATTTTGACTTTTTAAGTTCAAAAATTTTGACTGTTCACATACGTGACAATTTTTATATTGTAAAAATGGACGATATTGTAATTAATCATTATATACAGATCTAACATGTTGTTTTTCAAAAATGTTCAGTCATATGATGGCTTAGTGTTGGTCTTGTGTGATAGATATACATGTATATAAACTATGGTTAATTTGCTGATTGTGGAACTTTAACATGTTTAACGTGTTTTAAAATTGTTACTATAGAATGAAACTTTAGAATATATTTTTTTAATTGTTGAGTAGTTTGTTGCTTTGTCTATCAACATTGTAAAACATATTTTATTTATTGCTAAACATTATGTCCATTGCATTTTAACTTTCCCTTTTTTAAATGTTTAAATGATTCGTTTTGCACGCATGTAGGCAACATGTTGTGTAGACGATTTCCCTGGAAACAAGTGTAAGTAAAAAAAAATAAAAGAAACTTTATGTCATAGTATGTCAAACACAAAATATAAAGACATTTGAAGAAGGGTCACGAATCATGAATCAACAGGACCCGGCATGATCTTTACAAAGATAAGTACATATTCTGTTTTACATTTGTGTATACATTGTAATTGATAATATTACAGGATGACAAAAGTTCAAACATTATGATTTTAATCAGTATATATCGCCTACATATTTCTAGCAATAAGATGCAAAATTCAATTGTAGCGAGATTGTCTAAAAATAAAATAAATCATTTTAATTGTTATTATCATAATCATGACAGGGAACACAATGTACAATATGTAGTACATAAACAGTATTAGACAATAGGATGTGTTCGTAGAAATTTTGTTGTATTGGTAAATATGCATAGCTAAGAATTACCTGCATTCAGAATATGACATAAAATTGAAAATGTATGAAACAGACAAAGAGCAAAAAAATGGCCACGGCTACCAATGGGTCTTCAACACAGATAGGAAATCCCACACCAGGACTCAGACATCAGCTAAATAAAAATGTGAACTTCTATCTATACCATCTATACCTGATATTATGTACCAATAACAAACAATCCATTTTAAGGCACACACATTATTCAATTATCAGGCAAGTACAACAACATTTAAAAAAAGAGAAATATTGGTACTTTTATTATTCTCAACATTGGCGATAGTAGCCGTAGACTTAAATGGCTATCAATGTGTTTAAAATTATCTATTCAGAGGTACCAAAAAGAACAGAATTTTAATGCTGGTACATAAATTCAAGAATAAAAATATTGGCACCTTATACATGTTATATATATGAGGACATCAACTATAACTTCTTGCCGACTTGTTTCTTTATTATTAAGAAAGATAAGAAGTTAGCAATATCCTTTAACTTTACGTTCCGCTATATAGATGATGTTCTCTCACTAAATAATACAAAATTTGGTGACTATGTTGAACGAATCTATCCCATCGAACCAGAGATAAAGGATACTACAGATACAGTTAAGTCTGCCTCATATCTTGACTTACATCTAGAAATTGACAATGAGGGTCGGTTGAAAATAAAACTTTACGACAAAAGAGATGATTTCAGCTTCTCAATTGTGAACTTTCCATTTCTATGTAGCAACATTCCAGCAGCGCATGCATACGGAGTATATATCTCCCAATTGATACGATATTCTCGGGATGTATTTCCTATCATGATTTCCTTGATAGAGGATTGCTGCTCAGAAGGAAGCTTTTAAACCAAGAGTTCCAAATGGTGAAGTTGAAATCATCCCTTCGTAAATTTTACGGACGCCATCACGAGTTGGTTGATCGTTTTTCATTATAGAAAATCACACTAAAAATTCTTTCTGCATCTGAGTATATAACATTCTTTATCGTTGTAGTTGTTACTGTGACATTGAGTATAGTGTTACCATTTGCACAGTAAACTTTGCTTCCGTAGAAATAAATGACTATGTTCGTGGAGACTGCATTGTGCTGACAACATTGAAATCATTCTCTAGAGGATTCCAAATATTATGACAAAAAGTCAAAAACTATTTTCTAGTAAAATTTGACTATATTTAAACGTTAAAACTGTATTGAACAAAACATTGATTAACCATCACAAGCAAAGATCGCAGTTCCGTGATAGATAAGTACATGTAGATGGCAAGTTTGATTAAAAAGCAGATACCAATAACACATTATCTCTTTTTCTGCAATCGAGATCCGTTTAATAACTTTTGTAAATTATACAAAAGTGTAGTGATATTGTAATTCATTAAATAATGGTAACATATAACATGAATTCGATTTATTGTTTTTTCTGTTTGAAATTTAGATAACACTTTTGTTTCTGCTAAATATGTAAAAAAAAGTATAACAAAAATACTGAACTCCAAATTCAAAAAGGGGAAGTCCATAAAAACTGATGAAATCGAGAGCAATCAATCATTATTCCTGACTTTGTACAGACATTTACCGAAGAAAATGGTGGATAAACCTGATTTTATAGCTAGCTAAACTTAAAACAAGATAAAGCATCTTCAGTGGATACTCGTTTCATTTGTTTTTACTATAGGGTTGTCATTTACGGGAATATGAATGAGCGTTTTCTTATCTTTTACATACACCTTTCTGACAATTGACTGAAAGACTGAATATAACCCAACAGTTTATGGTTCAGTCTCTAAATGATTTTCAGATCAAAATGACCGCTTCAGTTCAAAATAAGTTTAATAGTGTTGTGTATTCGTCCCTCCGTTTATTCATGTTCGTTCTGACTTCTGTCTGTCGTGTCGTAACGTTATAAGAACATATCAGTAAGATGGTTCCAAAAAAGTAACATAGTGCCGCATGTATGTGAAATATGTTCTCAACACTAAGATCTTTAAGGGACAAAATTGAAGAAAATAACTAAAAGTAAGATATCAGCATTGGGATGTATATAAGATATCATTTTACACAACCTGTGTTTGGAGGAATAAACACGTAAAGCTGTCATGTTCATAGGTGGTACGCCTGATGCGCTTTTGTCTTCTTAAGACGCGCTCGAATCATAACAGTTAAGATCAAATACAAACGGCCATAAAAAGTATAAAAAAAACACATAATAATGTTAACTCCAACACTACTAATTCATTAGACATATTGAAACAAACAATATTTTAACTATTTGCAAATCGAACATTTTGATTTTTGAATTTAGAATGTGTATAAGTTGTAAAAGTATTGATCAATAATGTCTTAATGTAAAAAAAATCATTGAACAGTATAGTCAACCATCAAATTATAGTTTATTCAATGCACTTGGTTTTTTTATGCACAGAGTTGCTAAAGTTTTAACACTATAATAACCAAACATTTCCGTTGATAAGCAAGATCGATGACACGAGTTTTATGTACCACTATCTGTGTCCTGTAAATGTTTTTTTTTTTCTCAAGAAACGTTCAGCTTGTTAATTATAAGAATATATGTCATGTGTGTGGTGACAGAGACAAGTATCACACCAGATTGCATCTTGTAGTCCTTGGGAAGTATGTATGCCTTCATGTGTAATATAATACCGTTTTAATCAATGATAGTCATAATAAGACATTATTCAATCTTTAAACTCATGAAACATTTAAAAACAATGTAATGGGTAAAATTGAGAATGGAAATGGGGAATGTGTCAAAGAGACAACAACCCGACCAAAGAGCAGAAAGTAGCCCAAGGCCACCAATGGGTCTTCAACACAGCGAAAAAATCCCCACCCGGAGGTGGGCTTCAGCTGGCCCATAATCAAAAATATGTACTAGTTCAGTGAAAATGGACGTCACACTAAACTCCAAAACATATAAATGAACTAAAATTAGAAAAGCAAACAAGACTAACAAAGACCAGAGGCTCTTGACTTGGGCAGGCGCAAAAATGCTTTTGTTTTGTGAGATCTCAACCCTCCCCCTATACCCCTAACCAATGTAGAATAAACAAACACACAGCAATACGCACAGTAAAACTCAGTTTAAAAGAAGTCAGAATCCGATGTCAGAATAGGAAAGAAAAGAAACTAAGCAAAATGATTATGATACATAAATTAACAAAGGACTACTAACAGTTACTGACATGCCAGCTCCAAACCTCAATTAAACTGATTGAAAGATTATGTCTTCATCATATGAAAATCAAGCACAACCCCTCCCGTTAGTGGTTAAGTATCATACCATCAAAAATATATGCCATATGCCATCTTTAATGACCTGACAACAGTATCGTAACTATATCCTTTCTGAATAAGTCTGTTTACTGGTTTGGTTACCTTTTGAGGTAAATGACGACATTTTTGTGCTGCTCATAGAATATTACCATAAACGATTGGATGTGAAATACCTGAACGTATAAGGTGTCTGCATGTTGATTTATATTTACGAATGATGTCCTTGAACCGATGATAAAATTTAGTAAATGTTTTGACTAGTTTGCGGCATCGAAAACAATGATGTAATAATTTTTCAGTAATACAGAGATTTCTTTCGTTAAAATCAAATACGTTGTTACATACACGGGCGAATCGAACAAGTTGAGATATATAAACACCATGAGATGGTGACAAGGGAACGTCACCATCTTAAAATGGATAATTAACAATAGGAAATGAAAAATCATCTCTTTTATCGTACATTTTGGTATAAAGCTTCCCGTTAAAGATATAGATGTCAAGATCCAGGAAAGGGCGGTGTCCATTGTTAGTATTTGCTTTATTTGAAGTCAGTTCAGCAGGATAAATGTCTTTAGTGTACATACTGAAGTAGTCATATTTGAAAGCCAATACATCTTCCAAATATCTAAAAGTGTTGTTAAATTTTTGTATCAAATGTTGTTTCGATGGGTCCTTGCTGATTTTAGTCATAAATTGTAACTTATTGTAACTCATAACAATACAGAAACAGGTATACAGAAATAAGTGGTCCACAGTAAGTCCCCATTAGAATTCCGATAACTTGACGATATACGTAATCTCCATAGCGAACAAAAATGTTTTCTAAGAAAAATTCAAGTACATTTATCGTATCAAAGCAGGTCCAATTGACATAGTTCTTTTGTTTTTTGTTACTAAAAAATGTCCTAAAAGAGTTTGAACATATATATTCGCATTCCGACTTTTTAAATGGCCATTTAATTAGATGTGTGATTTTTTTCTTAAAGAGATTATGAGGGAAAGTGGTATATAGGGTATTAAAATCAAAACGTTGAACAGATTCGAAATCACCAATATAAGCATGCAATTTATCAAGTACTTACAAACGATTTTTTGACACTACAACAGTAATTAATTCCACTATTTTCAAAGGCCTTATTTGAACAATTTATTACCAGGTTTTTTATTGTACCAACTGTACTAATAAGTAGATTAGGCAGTTTAGTAGTGGAACAATGGCTTGAAGACGAAATAAATCTATATTTGGAAGGTATTTTGTGCAGCTTCGGAAGCCAGTACATAGTTGGAACTTTCATTGAATTTGTATCTGCTTGTAAAGAGGGAGCTAAAATTGTATGTGTGTAACAGATGTTATTTTCCGAAAATGGAGTCAGTTTGAATGTTGGTGAATTCGTGAATTCGTTTTACAGAACCGCAATATAAAATTTACATCAAACAATAATGATACTATTGGCATATTGGCAGCCTTATCAGCCGGAACAAAACAAATTCCTTGGCGAGTTCTTTTAGCTTATGAGAAATAGGGCTATTATAGTTGTTGCTAGGAGTAAAATGTTCTTTAAAATGTTTAATACGAATATCAACTATATTCATTATTGAATTGAAAAAAAGAATCTAAGGATTTTTTGTCAGCTTTTTCTCGTTTTATCCGTTTTGTGCAGTAAGTACAGAGTGAATCGTGTATGGTGTTAAGACACTCATTCCAATTAATAATTGACGGGGGACGATATTTAGGTCTTTTACTAAGGAAAAATGCCAACTATCGGCCCTTGGCGATATTAAGGGCTTCTGTTATAACATGGGAACTGGGGCCATAAATGTATTGGGAATAAATGCAATTTCATGACGTAGGTGTATTGTCACTGATATTAACATCTTTACACACCTTGCTATAGTTAAACACATAATGGTACACATGTATGTCAATATCAATAACGTTCTAGTTTTTGTTGTAAACCTCGAATACGTGTCATACTTTAGATTTTATCTCATACATGAGGATGGTTGTGTAAAGTTAATAAGTGTATGTCAACATTGTGTTAAATATCAATATTCATAAAGAACAGATCTTTAAAGAGTATACAACTTGTACAAGGATTCAATAAATCTTTCATCTCGTGGGGTCTTGTACGCTATCTTTTTCTTATCGTGTTTTAGGGAAGTCATAAAGGCTAAGAGTTTAGAGTTTGTAATTAATTCATCGTTGTAAATTGCTCTGATGAATACTTCATTTTATGGTGTTGATATAAGGAATAATTTATTCTAAGAAATCGAGAGAGAAACACATCCTTGTAAAACAGCCATTAAAAAACGTTTAGCGTCAATAAGGAAAATATTGTGATGTTCACACTTTAAACAATCATGTAGAAGACACGTTTTAATATGAGAGCAATATGAAGAGAAATGCTAGTTTAACTTAATATACATAAGCAAACCGGGAGCATAAGGACACTACATTTGATTAAATTGTTGTTTTAGAAGATTTTTTAAGAAGATCTTTTAACCTTTCCCAGCCAAAATCTGTTGATCGTGTTATGTTTATATGGGTGATTTACCTTTTTAACTCTTTAAACTTTTTTTTTTGTTTTCAACTGCTTTCTGATTCCAATATTGTTTGTTTTGTTTTGCAACATGCCAAACAGACCATTGAAACATGCAAACAACACTGTTGTCGCTTTTTTGTACTCTGTGTAATCTGACTCATTTTTCATATGATAGTTCTAATACTTCTTGCTATTAATAATACTTTTAAAGTGAAAAGGCATATTTTTGTTTTCAAGTTATCGGTCACATCTTTAAGACACGTCAACAATGTTAGACATAGCATTTGATTTATTTTCTACTTTCTATTATGACTGTCAAACTGAGATCAAGATCAAAGGCATTATAAAGAGTTTGTTTTTTTTTTCTTTTTTTTTTTGTGGGGGTGGGAAGGGGGTCGCTATAACGCTAACACACTAAAAAACCAAACAAATGGAGTGAACTGTTTCAGACAATATTGGAAGGGAAATGATAGTTGCAGCTAAGATAATTTGACTATATTTATGTGCGTTTTATTCACTGTGTATTTGCTAAAATAGTTACATTACACAGTTGGATCGTGTGCATTAATTTTGGATGCCTTTGATCATAAAGATATCAATTACTTATAACCTTAAGTAAACAGGGTGCAGCTGTTTCATCCACTTGTTTCATAGAATAACAAACACGATAATTTTAAGAATTAATGTAAGGTGGACTATGCTACTTACATTGGATCTCCACCAGATCATTATCAGATTTATGATTTCGTATTATTAAATAAGTTTTTTTCTGACATGGGTAGTTATTTGAACGTCAATAAAATAGTAAATTACATTTTAAAGTACGAAAATTTCAAATTTGCACCCTCATTTCATATAGAACAAAATGCTTATTATTTCAATTTATGTAATGCTATGCATATATTCTTTCAATGATCATTTGAACATTGATGATCAACAATTGTCAAAGTCGATGGGGGAAAATAACCTTTCAAGATTCATATTCTCTTATACAATGAAATAAGAGAAATATAAACATGTGTGTTAAAAAATTAAAACCAGAACATTCCATCAAAAACTCATTTTAGGTTTAACATGCAATGGTCTAATTTTCTAAGCCAGTTTCGATTCTGAACATTTTGATTAGTATGATTATTTTGACAACGTCATTTAAGCATGTAATTGTCACTGAAATAGTGGTCTACATTGCCGGATTTTCTCGATTTTTCTGTAAATAAAAAGCCATATTGTCTTTTCCATTCTATCAATACACGTTCGATCTGTGCCTGTTAATTTGAAAAAAAGGGACATGTCAAAACCCAGTATGGTTTACCTAGGATAGAACATATCAAAAACACAATTCAAATGTGTACATAATTTAAGGTTTATAGATTTTAAATGAAAATATAAATCAAATAGACATAACATACATGTATGTACGTTTTCAAACACATCAAAGATTACTCCAAATGATATAGAAATTTTCTATAAAATTAGTATAATATTGCCCCCTTATCGTCCTCCATTTTTTTTCAAATTAACCTCAATGAACGAGTACTTGATGATTATAAGGAAGTTTGTTCCATTGAACTTGGACACATCCGATCTGTATTTTTTTTTCATTGGCTATACTTCAGGAATTAATATAACAATTCTTCCGGCTTTCTGATATTTCGATAGCGTTTTTATATTATATCATTCTCGACTTTGACACAATGTTAGTTTTTTACATAATTCTAATACTTTGTTTTAGTGATAAAGGCACTAGTTTAAAAGGTCTTAACGTATGTGAAGACACACAAAGGTATAGTTGTAACAATTATAATAGTTTAAAGATACTATAATATAGTTTAAACAGTATTTTATTCAAATAAATTGAAATGGATTGGGCAACAGGCAAAGCCTATGTAAGCCCTCTCCATATACTATAATATATTCAGTATATGATTCAAGATTCCGATACAACTCAGCCATGTGGTCGTAGTGATACGATTAATATTCTTGTTGGTTTTAAAATATGATTTCTGTTGTGTAGTTAAATTGTTTTCATCAGTCAGGCATCTTTTCCATCAAACAATTACGACATAGCGTCTTAAACAATAAAGTTTTCATATTTAATTAAATGGTCTTTTGCAAAATCTCATTGCAAATTTATTTGCTGTAACTCGTTTAAAGCCTTTTTCTGTAACGAAAAAGGAAAGTATGCTAGATACACTTACTGGAAATGTGAAGATATGATTAAAGCTTTAAATTTTCTCCTGGACAACATATATGTACATTTCGGCAATAAAATGTATCGACAGGTAGTAGGTATTCCTATGGGCACTAAATGCGCCCTTTTAATAGCAGATTTATTCCTGTATTGCTATGAATCTCAGTTTATGAACAAACTCAGTAAAGACACGTCATTGTTACATTTGGTTGATACATTAAAAAATACCTACCGTTATCTTGATGATATTTTTTCGTTAAATAATCTCTAAATATACTACCGAAATTTACCCAAAGGAACTTACTTTAAATAAATCTAACATAAACAGCAGTAGTTGTCCTTTTCTTAGATTTTAGACATTTCAAATTTTAAAGGGAAACTCCATACTAAAAAATTTACGACAAAAGAGACGATTTTTCATTCCCTATTGTTAATTTTCCCTTTTTAGACATTTTTATATATCCCAACTCGTTCGTTATGCCCGTGTGTGCAGTGATGTCATAGATTTTAACGAACGTAATCAATGCATCACTGGTAAATTATTAAGTCAGGGATTTTGTTACCATAAATTGCTTAAAACCTTTACTGAATTCTGTCATAGATACAAAGATTTTATTAGTAAATTTGACTTATTATAAACGGTATTTCACATCCTAAATTGTACGGTAATATTGTACTAAAAGCGCAGAAATCACTATGTGATCCGTGTAAACTCTTCGAACCTTTAAACAAACTTATTAGTAAAGGTTATCTTACCAATGTTGTAATTAGATCTTTGAATATAGTTTACATTGGCACAAATATCGATTTTGTCATCAGCAAATTAAAACATAACTAAATTTGTATTCTTTTCGAACGTTTTTGTTTTTTGGGATGTATAAATACACATCCGCGTTCATTTTCTATATAGAGATTACTCTATCTATATATTACATTATACATATTTATTAACAGGTTAACTCCTAACTATCCTACTGCCTGTCGATACTTTTATTTTGTCATTGCACAAGTCATGTCTTCTTTGACTGTCCTCGACGTTAAAACACTAATTCCCTGGGATGTGTTTTTGTTGAGTTTAGTCTCTGATGTATGATTTTTTATTATTTATTGTTTTTTGCTTTTTTACTGCGAGTACTCTGAAATCGTACTTTCGTGTTAATTTGACCTGTTGATACAATTTGTAATGTATTTTTGTTATTCAATGTTTACTTATTCAGTGTTATATCTAGTCTCACTGTTTTAAAGTATACCACATTTGATAAGTGTTAAGTATGATTATAAATTTTCACTTTTGTTCTCGTACTAGGAACAGCAAAATTATTTATTTTGTAAAAATTATGTCCGTACTCTATGTCTTCCTTACAACAAAATTAGTTTTGTTTACCTGTGTACGTTATATTAATTGGCGGCATTTTGTCTAAGGTTATGTTTGTCTTTTTGATATTGTTTTACATCTAACCCCCTTGTTTTATTAATTTTGTATTTACATTGTGTCAAAGATCAAATTTATTCGTTCAGTATATGTTCACTTGTTTTTGTTAACATGTCTTTTGATTGAGTTAAGCCATTTCAATTGAAATTTTATAGTGTGTCTTTCTATGTTGTGATGTTACACTATTGTTTCAGGTAGGGTCAAGGTTGGCGCCTATTAAAACGTTTAAACCCGCTGCATTTGTTTGCACCTGTCCTAAGTCAGGAACCTGATGTTCAGTGGTTGTCGTTTGTTGATGAGGTTCATAATTGTTTCTCGTTTCTCGTTTTTTATATAGATTAGACCTTTGGTTTTCCTGTTTGAATGGTTTTACACTAGTCATTTTGGGCTCTTTATAGCTTGCTGTTCGATGTGAGCCAAGGCTCCGTGTTGAAGGCCGTACTTCGACCTATAATGGTTTACTTTTACAAATTGTTACTTGGATGGAGAGTTGTCTCATTGGCACTCATACCACATCTTCTTATATCTATTTAACAATAAAGTATCCTTTTTATATATAATAAAAATGATACAGTTTTAATTGTGTTGTATGTAAGGCTTTATATTGGTACATGTAGCTAATGAGGTATATCAAGGGTAATTATTCAATTCTAGAACTTATTGAAGTTACTCGCGAAATCTTAATGTTTTTCGCTGACATAGAAAGATAAGTGAATAGTTACCCAATGTATCAACAATCTGATCGAAGTTGGTCTGATGTATCTCCACAGTGCAAAAGTAGTGATAACGTTATTTACAAAAAATCTGGCATAGACAATACTTGTCTTTTTAAAAATATAATTATGTTTATTAATATACTTTTCATTATTATAGGAATATACAGTATTGTTGTTCGGGCTATGAAGACACAAATGGTATATGTACAGGTATGAAAATATTCAGAGGAAAATGGATATAATGATAAGACTAAAGATGTGCCCTTTTCTTTATTCTATGATATACCTCGTTTATTTGAACAAAATACAAATACGAAATGTCGAAATCAAATGAGAGGTACTGAAATTAAAAGACGACAAGATGAAACTATCCAAACCGGTAGGATTATAGTCTGCAAAAAGGTAAAGCAGGAAAAAGATGTGCTCTCATTTCTTCCTAAAATGCTTCAAAAGCAAGCATCCCTTGGAGAGATTTGGTTCTAGTATTGTGGATATTTACCAAAATCGGTTGCATACTTAAATTATACCATGTTACACATGTTACAATGAGTAGTTCTTTTTATATTCATTTTTGATTCTCTTGTTTTCAACAACTTATAAAATATTATGTTATGGTATATACTTGTATTTAATCAATCAACATTAACTTAAAAACAACTCTAAATGTAATTAAGGACATCTTCTTAATATGATTAATTTCGTATTTATCTTTCATTTTTTTTAAATTCTTTTGAATCTAACGAGAAATAATGTAATCAATAAAGGACAGTTATTGGTTAAGATCATAGGGAATGATGAACATGGGAGTAGGTTCAATCATACGCGGCAGTACTTCCTTTTGCAGTATCGTAGTATGATCTGTAACGTAGTTATTTAAGACATCTGTGTTTTAAAACTCGCTTCTAAGCTTCTTTTCAAGAATTTCTCAACATAATATAAAAATAGGAAGATGTGGTATGATTGCCAATGAGACAAAATGACACAGAAACTAACAAAAATAGGACACCGTACGGCCTTCAACAATGAGTAAAACCCATACCGCATAGTCAGCTATGAAATGCCCCGAAATGACAAATGTAAAACAATTCAAAAGACAAAACTAACGGCCTGATTTATGTTCAAAATAATGAACGAAAAACAAATATGATATACAGCAACAAACGACAACCACTGAATTACAGGCCCCTGGCTTAAGACAGGCACATACAGAATGTGGCCGGGTAAGACTCGTTTGAATGCGCGCCAACCCCCCCCCCCCCCCCCTAACCTGGGACAGTGGTGTACAGAACAACTTAAGAACAAACAATAAAAATCAGTTGAAAAGGGCTTAACGCATCAGATTATACAAAGCAGAAATTCATCTAAAAAAACACAAAGTTGACGTTACAGGGTACTTATATGTCCATTTTCAATGAATGGCTTTTTCACATAATATTGACTTATGTCGTACCAAGTGTCAGACGATGTTCTTCATTTGTGTTTCAAACAAATATATTGATCAATAAGGAGTAAAAAGGTATTTGATTTTGACTGTAAAGAATGAATTTGCTAATTTCATTGATAAGGCAGTCGACAGTACTAACAAATCCTGCTTGAATATTCAGTAGTCCTCTCAACTAAAACACATTATTCTACATTTGAGCACACTCACCTAAAACTTACAACGTTCACTCTCTCTAACCAATCTATGCTAGAATGATTCAATATACCTTTCGATATGTTTAATATTTCTTTAAAGCCAGGGCAGGGACTAGAATTTCATTACCAATGTTTGTTCATGTCCTTTTCAGAGTGCAAAATTGGTTATAGGTCAATAGAAGGAAAACCGTGTACCCATTGTCCAAACAACAGATTTGGAGAAAGATGTTTGAACCGTTGCAACTGTAACCAAATTGGAGATAGGTGAAAATGAAATAAAAGCATATTTTTTTTTTGTATTTAAACCAATATCATTTATAATATTTGTTTTCTTTTTGTGTAATACGAAACTCAAATTGTATCGTACAATTAAATACGGTTTGCGATTTTTGCGGTTTGTCTTGTTATAATTAGATAGTGGCTGTTTAAACGTTTAGGTTGAATAAGTCGAATCTCGAGAATTTTGCCAGGCATCTGTTTAGCCTTTCTAAGAAGGGAAGTAAACAAATTAAATGATATCAACATACATTCACTTACAGAATTATACTTTTTAAAATTGTTCTCAAATTGCCGGAACTCGATGGTTATATGACATTACCAATAGGTTGATAATTCATGAAGACGCGTTTGAGTTTAAATCTTTATGTAAAATGGCCATTTGAGACCTTATTAAACGGCGACATAGATGTTTGTTTTTCTTCAAGGCTGTGTCGCACATTAAATAAGCTACTAAAGTGATCACATGAAATTGTCAGAATAATGTAATTAAAGAAGGTGACATAATTGATGTATGTTTAATGGATCAACCAATAGCTCTATGCATATTTTGAAGAAGAAGAACAACTAGTACTGCTGCAAACTCTCAACAAGCGAATCAATTGAAACCCGCAACATAAAAAACGACAATAATTATAAAACAACATAATTATGACAACGCCATCGCAAAAAAACAAGAAAACAACAACAAACAACGAACACGTCCGCAAAACACTACATAGAATACTTAAGATTGAGCAATAAGAGCCCCATTAAAAACAAAGCTGTGCTACGAAAGGGTGAGCATTTCCTATTCCACATAGGGCACCAGCCGTGTTGCATTTCTTTATCTATCAAGTAAGATAACTATTGCAATGTTTATTAGGTACTTAAGTTTCAAATATAATGAACGTGGACATGCTATTATATTATTCCTCTTGTATATTAAAATATCAGTGTTTTTTTTATTGATGCAGGTGTGATCATGTTAAAGGGTGCAGTTCAAAGTTTGAAGTTCGCGGTAGGTATTTTCAGACTCTAACAGCATTTACAATTGGAACTTACAAGTTAGTAGATTAGTCCTTAGTTTTTTCATGTATTTGTTTGTGAACTTGTTTGTCTCTTTGTTGTTTTTCGTTCTTTGTTATCCAATGATGTTGTCAATTTATCTAGACTTATAAAGTGTTAATGTTCCATCTGTATCTTATGCCTTTTTAGCAATGGAAACAATGATTCTTCTGTTTTGGTGATCACACATTTGTATAGAAACATCTTAAAAAATTGTTTGTATTATTTTTTACTTTATCAGATAGACATCTGTATATGAAAAAAACCTTTCCGTACTTTGAGGCCCAAACATGCTATACTTATGCTCTTCGATCTCATACTTTTTTTGTCGTTTTAACTTCTTTGATTCGAGTGGTAGTGGTGAGTTTCTTTTGTAGATGAGACGTGCCTCTTGCACCATTCTCAATTTTATTCACAATGGCTATTTCAGGACTTTGTCGTTTGTACATAAACTATTATATTTGCGGAGGGATTTTACTGTTAATTGGCGTCATTCTTTGTCGATCACATTTGTTTTTTCCTTTTCGATGTTAATGTTGTATGCGTACATTGAAGGTTATGGGTAATGTTTACATTCATAGGGAATTTGTCAATCCGCCACAAAACGTATGATCTCATATAATCAGATGCCAAATGTGATTTATCAAGAAACGAAGAGATTTTGTTGTAAGTTTAATATCAGCAGTTGTCTGAATTTCTTTTTTCTTTTCTTTATTCATTAATGGTATTTACTATCTCTTTTTATAGAAGACGGTACATTGTTGTTAAATTTGTGTCTTGTCCATTTGTCAGTTTGAAAAATAAAATGTGTTTAAACTGCTGTCTCCTTTGATGTTAGGTTTTGTTTATAAATGAATAATTCACGTAATATATGTTAAATTATCTTTGTAGAAGATGTCAACTATACAACTAGAACTGTGGTGGAAACCTTTTCCGAATCAATGACGGGTAACAGTTTTGGTAGTCCCCAATATTTAGTGTATCTTGCAAGATACCATAACTTTTGTTAATTAGTTATATCTAATCTGATATGAATTTGGCCATTGTTGTGTTTATTTTAATTATAAAGCATGAGCGATGGATACAATCCAAAATTTATTCAGATGTAAGATTACAAAAGTTTAATATATCAATAAGTCAGTTTTGATCATTTTTCAGTGTTGTGTTCAAATTAATAGTTTAGCTTCAGAAATGCTTCAGAAAAAACAATTAGATAAATAAACTACTTTATTCTTTAATTAAACAAAAAACCGTGATGACTTGACCGGAAAAGCTTTTAAGAGTGACACGTCACCGTAAGTATGACGTGTGCAAACGGGATCACACTCTAGCGCTTCCTTTAGCACAACTCGCACTGCTGCGACAGTAAAACATTGATTCAGAGAATCATGCACAAACGAATTTGTTTAATGATCTTTAATACTAATGAAAAAAGCTTAGATATATCTTCGGAAAATCCTTGTGCCAAGTCAGGAATATGGCAGTTGTTTTTCACATGTTCCGTTGTTTGATAGCGTTTGATTTTCTCAAGTTTTCATGGACTTTGCCTTCTTGATTAGTATTGTGTTATACCTTTCCCTTCAAGCAGCATTACAACTTTATTACAGTTATTTGAATATAGATTTTGTTTTTTACTTTTTGTTAGATGTTCGGAATTTTCTGTTTTTATTCGTGTAGTGATTTAAGAATTGTCCACTGACCTACTTTACCTTTAATAATATTTTTTTTTTATTGTTTTTAAATTAAAATACACCTGTGACGTAAATCTTTTGTTTAAACTCTCCATTATTTTTCAGGAATGGAAAGTTATTTTCTATTGTCCATCTTCATTCATCCGGACGTTTTGCCCTTTGAGTATTTCCATGGGCACATTCTTAAAAAGTGTTCAGCCATGGAAATAGTTCTAAAGGACGTAACTCGATATTGAAAGAAGATGAAAACTTACAAAAATGGCTGATATTAAATGGATTTTTTTTTTAAATTGGGATGACCTCGTAGTAATACAATGAAATACAAATATTTCATTGTAAATAAACAGCTTTTATTTGCGAGTCGTAATTCCATCGTATAATATATAGTATCGTGTTCACTAAAATTTTACAACATTATCCGCAATTTGTTTTCCGATGCAAATCTTGGCTAAATTTCTGTCACGGATAATATCCAAGCGGGTAAAAAACGCATATTTTCCATTAAATGCCATTCCTCTTCTGTGCAATTACAAAATATCAAATATGTTAACTCAGTTAGACATTACCATTATACAAGAAGGACAATAAGAGAAACAAACTTACAGATTTGCTTTTAGTTTTACCGTTTAAGATATCATTTGCTTGAAATTTTAAGTGTTGTATTTTGATTTTGACATAAAAATCGTTTGTTCCAATTTATTATGTACATTAAACAAAAGAAACATTACTCAGTTTCTACAATGATATTGTGGTTAAATACAATAAATAGTTCAAGAAACTGAAATGATCAAAATGACGTATTCGGTATATCATTTGATTTTTCGTTGTTATAATTTGTATATGTAACTAATGAAAAGAATTTTAGGGGTATGGATAATATTTGAAAAAGGCTTGTATTAAATATTGGGCGGGATTTTTATTCAATTTTCAACAGAAACGCGTAACACAATCGAATTCCTCTACTGTTATTATATGTCCAGTAGCAAATATAACAGTTATATCGGCAGTGCAAATGACGGCGTTAATATTGAAATGTTTAAATGAAATCAAAAAAGTAGTTTTCCACTTAAGTTAAAGACATACAAACCACAATCTAGAAATGTTTTTAATCACGCGTTTTTTTTTTTCTCTAAAATTGTTTGCCTCTTTTCTGATAATAGGGAAGAATGAAAAATGTTTTTCAGTTAGCTTGCATTGCTTTTTAACACTCTAAAACATGCATTACATTTTTGTTTTTCGTTGTTATGAGCAAAGGGAGCGGAAAAAAAACAAATGTTGGATTATGCATGAAACATGAAACAGTGTTTTCTTGTTTACTTTTATTTGATGTAACAGAATAGTTTGAAATATAGAATCATATTTTGTTTCAGATATGACTTCAAATCGAGTACACCTTTATTAGTTAAATAACCTATACTAAATTGTTACATACCTGTCAATTTATTCTAGTTGTACCATGTCGTTTTTGTCGGACGATTCTACATCCAAGATTTATCAAACGAAAAATACACATAATCCATTAACATATATGCATAAATATCAGGTTTTTCTCTCTCCCGAAATACCACTTATAACACACATAAATATCCTTTCATTCGTACCACAAGAAAGACATGCATATCCAATGACTTAAAACATAAATCTGGATGAACTTTATTCAAGATTTGTTTATAGTAATTATTCAACTGTTCATAAATACTTCGTTAAGTGAGTATATGGTCAGCTTGATCTTAAATTTTGCCTGTGGATTATTGGGTACACCACGGGGAAAATGAAAAGAAAATCATTACAAAATGAAATGAAATTCTTTAAAATGTTATAATCTAAAGATTCGTTCTGAATATTTAAGGTGTATTTTGAGTTAGCGAAAGTCCAAATAACTGTACATTCCTGGGAAATTATGGGCGTCGGCCCTACGGGCCTCCGCTCCATTATTTCCAAGGAATGGACAGTTATTTGGACTTTCTTTATAACAGAAAACAAAGGTGCCGATATAACGTGTTTGAACAATCTAGTGAGAATCTTTTCCCGACACATTTTTAATGGCTAATGTCTCTGAAACAACAGTCTTGAAGGTAATAGATATTTTGATGATTTTCTTTTATATAGAGGCATTCCGTAAGGTTGCCTTCGTTTGAATATTTTTTGCAAATATTTTGTTTATATCAGATTACGATAAATGTCCTGTTCAAACATTTCTGATGTCATCAGTCCACCATGATAACAGGGAGGGACAAATACTAAAACAATAATCCAATACATAAGTTAAGTCCGTCAGTTTTTTTCATACGAAACTGTATTTTCACTTTTTGGATGAATGCATTTTAATATAAAAACAAGAAAATTAAAAAAGGAGAAAGTCCATAAAAACCGACAAAATCAAACGTTAACAACCAACGGATCAAGTGGAAAATAACTGTATTTAAAGTTTGGCAGCACTAGCTAATGATACAAAACGAGATGTTGGTTTCATTCTGATAAGATATAAATCTTTGTCGATTTTGATGCATATCTCTATTTTTTACTTACATTAAAGCACAGTTAAATCATAATACATATATATATTATATATATATATTATATAGATAATTATATAATACTAGTATTTATAAACTTTTTCAGTGTTTAAATTGCACGTGTTTTTCTTCGGGGCTGCAATAGTAGGTGCATTAGTTATGATAGGAGGATGTTTGGGCTTTATCTGCTTTTGTAAAAAAGGAAACCAGATAAATGCGAATACGGTCATTGAGGAAAACAGATTTCCAAACGTTAACTTAGATGCAGGCCATAGTGCATTCCAGTTGACAGAAGATCAACATGTAGCTAGTAGCTCATATCTACAAGTCATAAATGGATCGTACGGCACTGTCATTGATAACAATGGAAATGAAGATCGCTGCAGGCAACTCAACCCATATGTTAGCCTGGTTCCTAAAAATACCGATACACATTATTACATGTACTATGAGTAGAGGAAACAACAAAACCATGATACATTATCCGGTCTTTATTCATGTATATATATGTTAGAAATAAGTTATAGAAACTAAATAATAATAAAATGGAAATTTCTAAAGATAGTCAACTTTTTGTATTATTTGTCAAACAGCTGAGGAAGACTATTTTCATATCTGTCTTTCATTCTCATTTTTAAAAGATATAAGGGAGCAAATGCACCATCTTTATACAAAAAACAATGTTTTAATCAAGTTCCAAGTAAAACATACACTTTTCTGACACAAAGTCACATATCAATGATATAATGTTTTATCTATTTGCAAACAGTATATGTTTTTGCATAATAAGTGCATACTGTATTCCAGAGCATGTGCATGACTTATTAGGAAAATTATAAGGTCTGTTAAACTAAAATAATGTCGTAAATTCAAAAAGATACATAGACATAGTTTAGAATGTAAAGATTCATGTTCACAGTTACGCTGGGATTTTATTTAAAATTTATCATGAATATTTTCCTAGATATTATCAAATTAGTTCACAAAAAAGTATTAACAAAAATACCAAACTCCAAAGTAAATTCAAAGGTGAAGTCCATAAAAAATGACAAAATCAAACGTTATACATTACTAACCAAGAAAACGAATAGACAACATCTGTCATATTTCTGACTTGGTAAAGTCATTTTTCGAGGAAAATAGTGGGTTACATCCTAAAAACTAGTACATGTTTGACAGTTGTTTATAGTTCAATTATAGTGACAAAACTAGGTGAGCACCCCAAACAGACATAGGCCGTTAGTTTTCTCGATTGAATTGTTTCATATTTACATGACGAATCCTTTTATAGTCGGCTACAAGGTATAGGTTTTTTTTATCATTGTTGCAGGCCATACGGTTGCCTATAATTGTTTACATCCACTTCATGTGAACTTTAATTGGTAGTTTTCTCATTGGCAATCATACCACATCTCCTTATTTTTATATGAAATATAAATGCGACAATAATTGGATCCAGCAACCAAAAAGAGAAAATGAAAACAACTAGTTATAAGTTTCATGTGCCCAAAACGCTTTTCTTTATTTACCTTCATCAGGAACGGTCAATGCCAAATATTTGAAAGCCAAGGATGTATAAGAACCAAAACAGTTGAAGAGCTATACTACGAAAAAGGACCTAACAAATAGCCAAAATCCATTTAAGGTCAACTTTGCCTGAGGGAGTTGAAACTTCAGTTTCTAAATAATTTAAAATTTTATAAACGGACTATTTAAACTGAGTAAACATACATCACAGACTCAGTGATACGGTGTAGGGTTGAGATACCAGAAACCGAATATGACATACAAAGAAACCATCATACCATAGCAAAAAGCTCGATAAGAACTACGATGCATTCTTTTAATCAATGAATGAATCAATTTATATGTAGCCATTTATGATAAAATGACTATTTTTTACAATAACAAAATAACATTAATGAATTAATGAATAGAACGAACTAAACACAGAAATACAATAATTTCGAATTTGAATTGGCAATTATATTACATCTTTTTCTTTGTTTAATGAAACATATTTTCACAATGATTTTAAATTGTGACACATATGCAGCACATTATTATATCTAAGCTACATACCCGGTAAATCATATTATTGCATTATTAAGCTTGTTTCTGTAGATAAATTGCAACTGATGAGAAATTGTTATTTTTGGTTTTAGCATTATCTTTTTCTGGCCTTTTCATTTTAAAATTAATGAACAAGTCTATCACGAAGTAGGAAGTTGGTTTCATTCATTCAATATGTTAGCATTCGATGTGTTTTCATGACAACAAAACCGACAGTTTTTAATTTATTTAAAAAATTCTTTCTGATTTACAATCATTTCATAGATCGATAATGAATTGTACCAGAACCGAAAAACAATGTTAGTTAACTTTGTATTGCTTATACTCTATATCATTCATAAAGGCAAATGTTTGGAAGGTCTGAATGTATGTGTTGACTGGATGAGGTACGTTTTTTTTTATTTGAAATAAAGTTATGGTTAGTACTCTGTGATTACTAATTTTTTATAAATATTATATTTGATATATAATCAAACCAATTATTAGACTACGTCTATACAGTGACATGTATTGATTTTGTCATATTTTGTATTGTGTTAAAGCTAGATCATTGAACATGTTAAACGACCCTTGATAGACCAATAAGGCCAAGGAAGTACACATTTTACGAAGTTTCACGTGAAGATGTGATTATGTGATAAAAAAAAGTGAAATAACAAAAATACCGAACTGCAAGAAAAAACTAAACAGAAAGTACCTTAACAAATGTCAAAATCAAAAGCCCAAAGCCATTAAACGAATGGAAAACAACTGTCATATTCCTGACTTGGTACAGGATTTTCCTTATGTAGAAAATGGTGTTCTAAACCTGGTTTAATAGCTAGCTTAACCTCTCACCTGTATGACAGTCACATACAATTCCATTATATTGACAACAATGTGTGAGCACAACATACAGACATAATAGTTAAAAATGTAAAACATTGGGGTACAACAGTCAACATTGTTTTATAATCTTAATCACTATGAAAACAAACAACTGTGTCAATAAAGAAAAACAAACTGGCATGTAGACACTCTTTAGACATTATTCATTGTCTTTCGTATGTAATATCCTTGTATGCCTTTTGTGTATTGACCGAGACCGAATATAATTTACAGTTCGTTGACCTAACATAGAATGACAAATATTAAAACTGATGACTTTATGGTAATTCTGTACTTCTTTGTTGTAACTTATTTCAATTTGCATAGTTTTACTTCTCGTGTCCTAGGACAATTAAGATCACCAGCTCATTAGAAAGTAAGTCGGGACCATTTTATCAATTACATTATACCTATTTCATTTGTGAAATCCCTTACTTACTCATTTTCCAAAAATTAATTATTTCTTTTTTAGCTCAAAGTAAATTGGAAATTGAACTTTTCATAATGAATCATTAACTTTCTTCCTGCTTTATGATCTTTGTATATAGTGTTTGCAAACGATGTCATCATCGACAATATTTTTTGTTATCTTCATAACTCTACATGTAATATTCTATATTATATATTATTGATGAGGCGAATGTTTAACAGTGGTATACTACTATTGCCTTTATTTAATTGGTCCTTATGTATTTTAAGACGGAAATAGGTACGTTTATAAATTCTGAAATATGTATAAGTTAGAATTGTTAACTAACACATATTTACTGATTTCGTACACAACAGAACTGAGGATCTTAGTAACTATGAAAGGACCAAACCATGGAGTTTGAAATTTCTTATTGACAATCTTGTCAAACTTATAAACAAAGGACCCTATCTCATATTTGTTGTCAGTCAGTAGTGTGTCATGGTCACGTTTTTGTCTCTCTGCATTGGCCTTGAGATTTTCTCTTGCTATTTCATAAACTTCTTGGAAATGAGACTTTAGTGTCGAAATGTACTCTTCTTCATTTTTCTGGATTCCTTTGTCTCTACTTTTATATATTAAGCTAAGAGGAATATTGACCTCTCTTCCTAACATCATACAGTTTGGTGAAAAACCTGTTGCCGGATGAGGGGTACTTCTGTATGCAGCTAACAGTAAACTGATATATTGGTCCCAATTTGTGACGTTCTTGTTGACAAAATTTTGATCATACCACCAAGTGTCTTGTTAAACCTTTCAATCAAACCATTTGATGCTGGATGATATGCAGTTGTTCTGGTTTTATGAATTTGTAATAAATTACACACATATTTGAAGAGGTCGCTTTCAAAATTCTTTCCTTGGTCTGTACGCAATTCTAGTGGTATGCCAAACCTGGCAATAAATTCCATCACCAGTTTCCGAGATATCTGATCAGCTTGCTGATGTGGTATTGAGTAGGCTTCCATCTAACGGGTAAAGTAGTCACCTATAACCAAAATATATTTATTCTTCCTCTTGGTGAATGGTAGTGGACCAATGACGTCTATACCAATTCTGTCTTATGGATACCCAACTCTGTAATCCATCAAAGAGGCTTTTGGCTTTTTTCCAGTTCCTTGTATCTTATTACATATTTTACATCTCTGTATGTGCTCTGTTATGTCTTGACTCATCTTGTACCAGGTGAAAACTGTCTTCATTTTCTCTGTGGTTTTCTTGACTCCCATGTGTCCAGAATAAGGAGTATTATGGCTCATGGTCAATATATCTTTCTTTAATATTGCTGGAATAAGCAACTGTAAATTATTTAACTTATTCTTGGTATTGGTTCATTTCTGATAAATAATACCATCAATCATTTCAATATTCTCCCAGTTTTACCAATATCTTCTTACAGCTGGGCTCAAACTGGCAAACGTTTCTCTGTCTGGTAGTTTTTCTTCTGTTTTCCATTGGTGCAAATACTTCAGGTCTGGGTCTTTTTTTTGGAAAGACTGCATGTCCTTAGCTGAGTATTTAGCTAACCACTCTGGCTGTGTTTTAGACCTAGTCAATACAGCTCTAACTGTAACATTAGAGTTCAGTTCTTTGACATCATCTACTTCGGTCTTGAATTTGCCATTGCTCATTTAGCTCCAAACAGGCCATACATGTATTTTTCATGTTGTTTGAAGAATAAATTCACTCTGTATCACCATGTTCTTGTCGAGACAATGCATCGGCATTTTGATGTTTTTAGCCTGGACGGTGTTGTATTTCAAAATCATACTGGGATCGTGATTCTATCCATCTTGCTAGTTGACCTTGAGGGTCTTTGAATCCAAATAACCATTTAAGAGACCCATGGTCCGTTCTGACTATGATTTTTTTTCTGTCCACTTAAACGTGACATCCTTTCTAGTCAAATGACTTAATGGAGCAGCTATCTCACTGAAACCTTTTATAAATTGTATGTAGTAGTTACAAAGGCCAAGGAACATCTTAACTTCTTTCATCGACGTAGGGACTTTCCAGTTTTTCACATTCTCAATAAGCTTGGGATTTGGTTTAATACCATCTTTTCCCACAATATGTCCAAGATACAGTATTTCACTCATCATCAGGTCACATTTTGATGGTTTCAACTTCAAACCAGCTTTGATGAGTCGTTGGA